AGGAAGGAAGGAAGGAAGGAAGGAAGGAAGGAAGGAAGGAAGGAAGGCATGAGTCCACTAGGGACAGCACACGCACCAGTCAGAGCTTCCTGGGCGAAGTATTTGACATCCACATCAGGGTCCTGGGTGAGTTTCTCTAGCACTGGCTTTACTTCATTTTGAAGGGTGCTGGAGGAAAAAAAAAAAAGACAGACAAGGAATGAGGAGGAGGAGGAGGAAGTAGGCAGAAGACAAGGCCTGTATCTAAGGTTTTCCAAAGCCTCAGTATTTTCACTACAGCAACAGCACTTATATACCGCTCCACAGCCCTCTCTACACAGTTTACAGAGTCAGCCTCTTGCCCCCAACAATCTCGGTCCTCATTTTACCGAGGATGGAAGGCTGAGTCAACCTTGAGCCGGTCAGGATCGAACTCCTGGCTGCGGGCAGAGTTTAGCATGCAATGCTGCCTTCTAACCGCTGTGCCACCATGGCTCCTATCTCTTCCCTTCATTTCCTCCATTCCCAGTCATCAAGATACACTCCAAACCCGGATGGCATCAACAACAGTCATTGTTCTCCATACCTGTTATCCAAGATTGGTCCAATTTTTTGAAGTGATTTGGCTACATTGAAGCGAACATTTGCTACTGCATCGCCGGCCATCCGCAATACCGTGGGAAGCATGTGCTTGGTGGTGATTTCCTGCCCACAGACCTCGGACAGCACCTAGCAAAGGAAGATCCGCGAGGGTAGATCAAAGGCCCTGTGCAACTTGGACCTGATGAGCTTTTATTATTTAAGAAGGTTGCTGTTATGGCGCTAGGCTTATGCTGGCCCCTGTTCTTCACCTCTTTGATTCAGTCCCCTAACAAGGCAGCTGCTCTCCCTAGCCAGAAAACCCCAAAACCCTCCCAGGGAGGGCAAGGACAATTCTTAACTCACAGTTCATACACTGACTTGCATGCACAACCCGTGCAGGCACCTCTTTCCACATTCCCCTTCTTCTTCTCGCTCACCCCTTCCCCAACTCACGTTGATGCAGAACAGCGTAGTCATGCGGTGCAGATAGTTGGGGTCGTTGGACATGGCTAACACCTTGGGGATGATGGTGGCATGGGCCCAGTCCTTGCCAAACTTCTCTACGAGCTTCTTAAGGTTACTGGTGGCCGCTTCTCGGATGGCATAAACTGCGTGAGGAAAGACACCGGACGGGTTAAAGCTAGAACACATATTCTAGAAGAGCAACACACAGAAGACGACTAGGGGAGTTCTTGCTGTAACACTTAAGACTTGATTTTGAGATATAGCTGCAGTAATCACATGGTTTTGTTTCAGTAGGTGAACTCTGGAGCACAAAGAGATATTCGGGGATAGGGGAGAGTGTCGAAGATTATGAGAAAAAAAATAACCTTAAGATTTCGCCTTTTTTTTTTTAAAAAAAAAATCCTCTCTAAAATGCAGAGATACTTTGAGGCTGCAGAAGTGTGAGGTGCTCTCTGAGTTGGCTTGTTTTCTGGCAGATGTTTCATTACCCTAAGTAGGTGACATATCGGTGGTAGTCAAGAGGAAAAAAAAAGTTCAGATAAGAGCAACTAAGATCATCAAAGGCCAGGAGACTAAAACATATGAAGAACGGCTGCAGGATTTGGGTTTGGCTAGTCTAGAGAAAAGAAGAATTAGGGGTGAGACAATAGCAGTGTTCCAATATTTGAGGGGCTGCCACAAAGAACAGGGAGTCAAATTATTCTCCAAAGCACTGGAGGGCAGGACGAGAAACAAATGGTTGGAAACTACCGTAATCAACCTGGAATTAAGGAGAAACTTAATTCTAACAGACAGGACAATTAACCAGTGGGATAGCTTGCCTTTAGAAATCATGGGCGTTTCGTCACTGGAGGTTTTTAAGAAGAAACTGGACAGTCACTTGTCTGAAATGGGACTATAGATTCTTCCTGCTTGAGCAGCGGGCTGGACCAGGAGTCCTCCAAGATTCTGTTCTGTTTTATTCTTCATTCCAAAGTCTATTCTATTCATTCCATGTTGTTCTGTTCTTCATTCCCTATTCTATTCTATTCTATTCTATTCTATTCCTGTTCTATTCTATTC